TAGGGTTTTCTTAAATTTGGGTTTTGATGAGAGTGATGCTCAGCAAGGGGATGGTGAAGATCCAAGGTGAAAGAACGAAGGTGATGGTGGCGATGGTGGATCTGCGGAAAGGAGAAAAATCACTTTAAAAGGAGGAAACTAGGGTTTTCTTAAATTTGGGTTTTGATGGGCTGCTCAATATTGGGCTGGGCTTATGAGTTTATTTTAGTAAATTTCATCCTCAGTTTTTTAATTTTTTCAATTGAGTCCTTTTGTTGTTTTTTTTCAACTTCTCCCCAAATTTTTTCATAAATTTTTTTTATAATGATAAATCTGAAACGGTACGCGAAAAATTTCGGTATCCGATACGTACCGTTCCAATAACAAAATCGATATGCATGCGATACGATATTGACTACTTTGGTTGAGATACCAACTCTGATATTGAATGCCCACATTGATGGTATTTAGGGCTGGGCATTTTTAAACCAAACCGATGGTTTATCCAAAAATTGAACCAAAAAAATAAATTTAGTTCAGTTTTAATGGTTTTTGGTTTTATTTTTTCAGTTTTAATATTAACCAAATATATTTTGATTCGATTTTTGTTGAATCTCTCAAAAACCAAAAACCAAAAATAAACCAAAAATAAGCCATCTAAAAACTAAAATTAAGATAAATATGATAAAATATGATAAAATATGTGATAAAATATAATATATTATTAAAAAATAATTGATTATTATTTATTTATCAAAAACCAAAATCGAACCGATTTTAAATCGACTTATTAATAACCGAACAAATTAATTTTTGATAATTTTGGTTCGATTTTGATTCTCAAAATTAGAAAAAAAAATTTGGTTATTTCAAAACTGGTTTCGATTTTAACCAAAAACCAGTTTTGCCCACCCCATTTGGTATTAGTAAATTTTTTAGAGAAGTGCTAGGGGCACTCGCCTCTTGCACTCTCCGCCAACACTTCCCCACGTAAGCTTGTTTCTTGCTTTGAACTGCAACCTCTTACCCACGAAAATAACGTGGCCCAATAAGAGTGAAAGTGTTGGTCGGAGAGTGCAAGAGGCGAGTGCCCCTAGCACTGCTCACTTTTTCTAATGCGCGTGGACCCGAAATTGTTAGACTCCATTGAACCTGCGTCGGCCGCCAAATTATTACAGTGCAATAAATGCAGATAAATAATAATGAAAATGAGAATTACACAACTGCAGGAAGATCATCCTTGAACAAATCCCTCCTCTATTTAACAATATAATTGCAGATAAATAATAAGTGAAAAAGTGAGAACGCACGTGCGGCGTGTGGGATCAGGTTGACTTTTCTCCGGGTAATCCCAACTCACCTTTGAGCAGTGCTAGGGGGGACTCGCCTCTTGCACTCTCCGGCCAACACTTCCCCTTTCATTGGGCCACGTAAGCTTGTTTCAGCTTTGAAGTGCAACCTCTTGCGACCAGAATAACGTGACCCAATAAAAGTGAAAGTATTGCCGGAGAGTGGAGAAGGCGAGTGCCCCTAGTACTCCTCACTCTCCTTTTCATGCTTCAATAATTTGGTTTCACGCTTTTCTCAGCAGAGATTTTTTCCTTTTAACTGAAGTTAAATTAGTAAGATCGAACCTCTAATTTAGTCCCTTAATTGTTATATAAATTATTTAGTTTTCAAATTAAAAAAATTTTTTATTTGAGTTTTTTATTTATTAATTTAGTTTTAAATTGATCATTTTATAAAAAAATAAATAATATATCTTATTATTAACATGTCATATGATCATTAAAATAAT